GAAAAGAAACCCAGATATACAAAGAACTCTTAAAACTCAGTAAGAAAACTACACAATTTAAAAATGGCAGAAGACCAACAGATATCTCACCAAAGGAGATATGGCAAATGAGCATATAAAAAAATCTTTAATATTGTATGTCATTAGGGAACTCAAAAGTCAAACAAGATATATGACTACACACTTATTTGAACGGCTAAAATCCAAAACACTAACACTTCAAATGCTGGCAAGGTTGTGGTGTTCTCACTTTTGTTGAATAAATGAGAAACACATACTTATGGAGGCATTTAGTTTATGACAAAGGAGGCATTTCAAAACAGTAGGGAACACAGTGGTCTCCCTTGCAAGTAAAATTGAGAAAACAGCCCAAAAAATCAGGTAAGAAAGTGATCCAAAGAAACATTTACACAAACAGCAATGCAGATAGGACCTTAAGATTTAGCTGTTCCAACTATAACTATCTCTTAGTCAGTACTCCATACTGCCTATTGCTGTATGTTGATACCCGGATGGCACTGACAGGTTCTTGGAAGAGAATCAACATTATCTAATTCTCCTTTTAAAAGGATCACGAAGACTTCTGCACTGAGAACAGACCTGAGAACAAACAGGGAAACAAAGGCAAAGAGATTGTTTAGGAGGCTATATTAACCTAGGTGAGACAATAGTAGCTTGGACCTACATGGCAGCAAGTGGAAAAAGTAAAAAGTGGTCACATATAGAGCGGCGCCTGTGGCTCAGTCAGTAGGGCGCCGGCCCCATATACTGAGGGTGACAGGTTCAAACCCAGCCCCAGCCAAACTGCAAAAGTGGTCACATACTAGATAAAATTTGAAGGTATAGTCAACAGGATTTTATGAAGGAATAAATATGCACTGTGAAAGAAACTAAGTATGGCCCAAAACTTTTGGCCTGTCCAAAAGAAGGAGAAATTGCCCTTTACTGAGATTTTAAAGAGAGTGGAAAAATTTGTTGACAAGGTCGGGAGTTCAGTTTGGTACATACTAAATTTAAGATGTGTAGGGATTCACGACACGGTATCCCAAAATATGGCACTCTGGTAGTTCACTGGCAGCTTCCCCTCATTTTCTCTCTCCTCAAGCAGGTCATAAAACCTTCATTCCATAATTATCTACTCTATACCTAGAGGAAAGAAATGTTCTCTCGGAAGACATAGGGACAGAAAGTAATCTAAACCACTAGGCTGTGGTAAATTTCCCCTCAAGTTTATTACTATTAAACCAAACCCACTGTGTTTAATCATTCTTATGTGCAACTGGTCACTTTATCAAACCAAAACAGAGGTGTCCCTGTTTCTTTAGATCTTCATTTCTGAAGGTTCCTGTGTCATGTAAAACTTTTATTGAATAAATGTATCTGCTTTTCTCTTGTTTATCTGTCTACTATGGGTGCCTCAGCAATGAACATAATGTTGGGTGAGAAAAGATTTATTTCCTCCCCAACAGATGCTTGTAAGATATTCCAGTGGAAATGTTAGGTGGAACAGCTGGATATAGGAATCTAAAGCACCAAAAGAAAGGTATGGACTGAAGATACAGATTTGGGAATCACCAATATACAGATGAAAGCCATTGGACTAAATGAGATTACCAAGGAAGTAAATAAAAATAAGCAATCTGAGAGCTGGGCACTGGGCCATTCCAAATGTCAGAGATCCAGAAGACAAAAGGGAATTAGAAGCAGCTACTGAAGTAGGAAAAAGAAAAACCACAGTGAGAGATCCTGAAATCCAAGTGAAGAACTATATTAAAGTAGTAGGAACAATTAATAGAATCAAATTTTGCTATTAGAGCAGGTAAATCGCTGAACAGAAATTATTAGTGACTTGCAAGAACACTTTCAGAGAGCTGGTGGCTTTCAGGATGGCTGGAGTGAGTGTAAGAGAGAACAGGAGGAGAGAAGTTCAAGAAAACAGGCATAGAGACTCCTTTTCATTAATGATATTATAAAAGGAAGCAGAGAAACAGTGTATGGCTAGAGTACGATGAAGGGTCAAGAGAGGGTTTTCCCCCCTTAAACATAGGAAAAATAATAGTATAAATGGTTTACAATGATGTGAATAACTGAGTAGATAGGCAGAAACTGATCTCAGAAAGGGCAAAGGGACAAATACAGAAGCAATAAACTTGATATATGAAAAGCTATTAATCTAATACACACAAGTCCAGTGACAGCAACAGCACCAGCTTAACTTCTTATGAGGCCGGGCACGGTAGCTCAAGCCTGTAATCCTAGCACTCTGGGAGGACGAGGTGGGTGGATTGCCTGACCTCACAGGTTCAAAAGCATCCTGAGCCAGAGCAAGCCAGATGTTGTGCTCCTGTAGTCCCAGCTACTCGGGAGACTGAGGCAAGAGAATCACTTGAGCCCAAGAGTTTGAGGTTACTGTGAGCTATGACATCACAGTACTTTACCAAGGGTGACACAGTGAGACTCTGTCTCAAAAAAGAAAAAAAAAACTTCTTTGAAACAGTTTCTAGTTTATAATCTTACAATACTTGCCCTTCTTTTTATCCTTAGAATAATCCTCTAATGTAAGCATTAAATCCCACTTCTTTACAGAAAAATATAGGTCAGAAGTCAGGTAACTTGACCAGGTATAGTGACTGAGACATGTAATCCCAGTCCTTTTTAAAAAAATTAGTAGGGAAACAGGAGGATCCCTTGAGGCAGGAGTTTGAGGGTGCAGTAAGCCATGTTCTTTTTTTTTTTTGAGCCAGAGCCTCAAGCTGTCCCCCTGGGTAGAGTGCCATGGCATTACAGCTCACAGCAACCTCCAACTCCTGGGCTCAAGCGAGTCTCCTGCCTC